CAAGGAACGATACGGCGACCGACTCCGGGTCGGAGATTCTTTATCTTTCTGTACAGCGCGAGATCTTCCGGCCGCCGGGCCCTTGCTACCAACAAACTTCTCCTGTGAACTGGGCTTAGATAGGAACACCTATAAGTTAAAAATCACACGTAAAGATTACTCATCACTTTCTTATTAAATCAGCTTTATATTGACCCTGAATAAATAGGCCATGTTTTAATTTCTGCTTGTAGTGACTATCTGAATTTCTGAAAAATCAGCTATTTAAAACCAAGTCCTTCAAAATGGGTTTGTCCTTAAAAGAAATATTTATACAACACCAGATAAAAAATCGGGTGTGGGTGTGGGGCTCTTTGTTATTGCATCCATTTCAGCACTGGGGATTTAGGCATTAATGCCTGGGAGATGGGCTGAGGCTCAGCAGATGGCTTAGTTGTACTGGCTGTGGTCCAGAAGTGTTTTGGATATGCTGCTCCTAGACCCAGGTGTTAATATCTGGAACTAGGGGAGACTCACCTTCAAATATTCAAATATTTTCAAGTACAATTTTGTTTTCCTTTAAAACATTGCAAAGAAACTCATTCAGAAATAACTGACAACCTTGCATTTGCAGCCCTCAGCTGAGATGTAGTTCATGTCCAGTATATAGACCTGAGTCATATCTGTCACTGTGATACGTGCACTACTCTATCATCTCTCCCATTACTGTCTTGGGTTACAATATGTAACCAAAAATGTGTAATTCTATTTTCATCTGTTGAAACCGGTTGGAAGATATTTTTATTTCTTGCAACTCCAGGGGGCAGATGCTTTCTGTTAATGGGTAATCATGGGTTAATGATGGGGGCAGTCAGTGGGAGCCCCCCCTAGCCCAAAGCCCCGACCACCGGACCCTCGGCCCTGCCCTGTGGGGTAGCTGCGCTGCCGCCAGAGCCGGACCGGCCTCGTGGAGCTCTGGTCGGGGCTGCCGCCATTTCGCCATAGAGGAGAACTTGTTCTGGGGACCCCTCTACCGGATCATCTCTACTCCAACAGAGCAGTATCTGCCACTCCAAGAGGACTTTAATTTGGATTTATTTGGAGTTTGATTTTTTTTTTTCCCAAGTCAGGTTGTATTCTGACTCTGTCAGAGTTTCTGGGATTATTTGTTTGTTTGTTTGTTGTTGTTCTTTTCTCTGTACCATTACCTTTGTAGTTGCAATATGCTTAGTAAAGAACTGGTATTCCTATCCCCATATCTTTGTCTGAAAGCCCCATAATTTCAAAAGTATAGCAATTCGGAGGTGGGGGGAGGGATTACATTCCCTATCTGAAGGGAGGCTTTGGTTTCCCCTGTCTTCTAGACCGAGACAATTACTTAAAACCAAAATGTTTTAAATTAAGAAATTCACATTTAAGGCAACCACGCGGGTACAGAAAGCTAGTGTGACTTACCCACAAATGCATTTTCCTCATGAATGTTCCAGGTGCATATTCTGTCACTGTGAAAAACGCCTTGGCTGTGACACCGTGTGTGTATTATGGAGAGAGGGGAGATGTTCACATCTGTTTTACAGATTTAGAGATATGGAAATAAAGGTAGAAAGGAGCAAGCCCTTTCAAGCACAATTTTAGTCTGAAAACAAAAGTGACTTTCTGCTGAGTTGATGTTTCCAATGGGAATTGGAATGAAAGATTTTTTCCTTGCAATCCAAGTCTGACAAGGCTGTACCGGGATTACAAGTTTTTGGTGTTTTTTTTCAGTTTTTGTTGGGAATTTTCTGTGAGGTTTTTTTTCGTTTTTTTTTCTCCTTAGTCCTCATTTTCCCATAGACCCGTATCCTTGTAATATTAAGAGAATACTAGGGTAAGACTTGCACTTGTCCAGTAGATTTCATTTGAGATTGATCCATTGTGCAGGAAAGGAAACTCAGCCACATGTCAAATAAAGTAATCGATTTTCTTTCTTCCCAGCATCTCATGAAAAGTCTGCAGTGCAGTAAGTAGACTGCTTTACTCCTATCCTTACCTAGGAAGAGTTTTACATCATGAAAGCTCCATTGACCCAACTCAAGATAACTTTAGAGCTATCTGAAGCTTAAAATAGCTTTACAGGTAACTCTAAATGTTCTAAAATATCAGGGCATGGTCCCACAAAATCTTAAGCATATGTTCACAGCATTGCATCATGTATTAATCATATAATTAATGTACTAATATAGTTTACTCCATTTTTGTTGTTATATTTACAATAGCTGAAAACTTTTCTCTCCTGCAGCAAAAGTACAGCAACATTTCCTGTTTCCGGGAAACTCAACCCTTAGGCTGTGTGAACATCCGTTGTACCTTCCATCATAGCAAACCTTGTTATATAAATGGACTTTTTTTGCCACTTAGTAACAGTGAGTAAAAATATTTTCTCAACAGTTTGCTCTTTAGAGCAACTAAACACATGAAGATATCCTTACGGTGCTTACTTCTAATGTTTATGTAATTTATAATAATGTAAAGAAATGTACCATGGCAAATCACAGAATCAGAGATTGATAGGGTTTCCAACCTCTGGGACCTCTGGTCGCAGATCAGGTTCACCTAGAGCAGGTTGCACAGAATGCCAGAGCAGGTTCACCTAGAGCAGGTTGCACAGAATGGCATCAAGATAGGTTTTGACTGTCTCCAGATGGAGACTCTACCACCTCTCTGGGCAGCCTGTTCCAGTGCTCTGCCACTCTCAAAGCAAAGAAGTTCCCCCTTGTGTTTAGGTGGAACTTCCTATGTTCAAGTTAGTGTCCATTAGTTCTTGTCTTGTCACTGACACCACTGAAAATTGACATGTCCCATCCTCCCGACACTCACCTTTTAAGTATTCATAAGCATTGTAAGATCATCCCTCAGTCTTCTCTTTTCCAGACTAAAAAGCCCCAAGTCCCTCAGCCTTTCTATGTAAGAGAGATGTTCTGGTCCCCTAATCATCTTCATAGACCTTTTCTGTACCCTCTCCAGCAGTTCCCTGTCCTTCTTGAAGTGGGGAGCCCAGAACTGGACCCAGTACTCCAGATGCGACCTCACCAGGGCAGAGCAGAGGGGAAGGATGACCTTCCTCAACCTGCTGGCCACATTCTTCTTTGCCATACTCCAGGATACAATTGGCTTTCTTGCCCACAAGGGCAATTGCGGGCCCACGGTCATCACATTGTTCACCAGGACTCCCAAGATTTTTTTCCCCAGAGCTGCTTTCCAGCAGGTCAGCCCATAACCTGTATTCGTACATAGGATTATTCCTCCCTAGGCGCAGTACCCTACACCTGCCCTTGTTGAATTTCATAGTTCCTCTCTCCCCAACTCTCCAGCCTTTCCAGGTCACGCGAATTGGCAGCACAGCCTTGTGGTGTGTCAGTCACCCGTCCCAGTTTTGTGCCATCAGTAAACTTGGAGAGGGTACCCTCTATCCCTCCATCCAGGCCGTTGATGAATCTGTTGAACAGCCCCTGGGGGATACCACTTCTTACAGACCTCCAACTAGTCTGTGTGACAATGGTATGAGCTCCATCTTTCAGCCAGTTTTCAATCCACTCCACTGCCCATTCATCTAACCCACACTTCCTAAGCTTGCCCGTGAGGATGCTGTGGGAATACAGTGTCAAAGGCCTTGCTGAAGTCAAGCTAGGCAACATCCATGCCCTCACCTCAACCATCCAGCCAGTCATGCCATCATAGAAGGCTATTAGATTAGTCAGAGATGATTTCTGCTTGCTGAATCTGTGTTGACTACTTCTAATAACCTTGTTTTCCTCCACTCTTTGAGATGATGCTCAGAATGAGCTCTTCCATCATCTTTCCAGAAGGGGAGGCTGACTGGCCTGTAGTTTCCTGGGTCTTCCTTCTTGCCATTTTTGAAGACTAGAGTGACATCGGTTTTCATCCAGTCCTCAGGCACCTTGCCTGTCCTCCAGGACCTCTCAAAGATGATGGAGAATGGCCCAGCGATGACTTGTGCCAGCTCCTTCAGCACTCACAGGTGCATCCCCTCAGGACCCATGGACTTATGGATATCCAGTTTACTTAATGGGTCTCTAACTTGCTCTTCCTTAACTGAAGGAAAGTCTTTCTTCCTTCAGATTTTCACTGTTACCTCCAAAGCCTGGAACTCCTGAGGGGTGACCTGAGCTCTAAAGTTTGAAATGAAGAAAGCATTCAATAACTCCACCTTCTCTTCATCCTCTGTCGTCCTGCCTCAGTCAACAGTGGGCCCACATTTTCTCTAATTTTCCTTTTGCCTCCCATGAACTTGAAGAAACCCATCCTGTTGACCTTGACATCCCTTGCCAGGTTTAATTCCAAAGTGGCCTTGTCTTTCCTTGTTTCATCCCTACATACTCTGATGGCATTCTTGTAATCCTTATTATATTGACTTATTCTGTCAGTCCTTACCCCCAAGTTATCAACTTGCTCTTCATCTGTCCCCTGGGGAGAGGTCAGTACATTCCAGTTGCTTTCTCACATAAAGAACAATCAATCAGGTATGATCTGGTATCTCAGCAAGTTGAAGGCAAAGAAAGGAATTATACTGTCATTTTGAATATGGTTGTCACATGAATTTTTTTGGGCGTCACGTTACTAACCTTCGTAACTAGCAGTGGCATGAAAGATGAAGTCACAAATGGCAATTTCGGTTGCTAAGATCGGTGGAGTAAAAATGTTGCTTTTACTTGGGCATTTACTTGAATAAATCTCTCTAGCAGTGCAAATGGTCAGTAGGCAGTTAATCATTTAAGAGAAATGAAAACTGTGTGTGTGGCGGAGGGAGAAGGTTAAGGACCACTAGAAGCAATATCAGTGGATAGAGCGAAACATCTTATACGGGTGAGACACTTCTTGTACAGATAACATCAGATTACAGTGTTGTGTGTGCAGGTGTATTTCCAGTGCATCATTTTGAATAAATTTTTCAGGATTGAACATTGGACGAAGGCTGCTGAAGTACAGTAATAGTGTGTAAGGCAGTACGATGTCCAAAAATCAGATTATTTATGGAAAAAAAACCACCATCGCAAGTTGTCTTTTTTTTTTTTTTCCTCTCCTCAGTCTTTTCTAAGAGGAACTCTTGTCTACCAAGAGTCCTGGTAGGCCTCTGGAACCTGGAACAGAGTCAGAGTCCAGGGCAGGCAATCAAGACAGATGTCAGAAATCAGGCAGAAGTGGGAGTGAGAGCAGTCCTGGTGTTCATGGGCCTTATCTCCAGGACTGTAGACAGGAGTTGAAAGTCCAGGAAGGCCTCTAGTCAGAAGCAAACACCTTGTGTTCCTGAAACTGCCCTAGGAAAAGGTAGCCTGTCATATCTGGGCGTGTTTAGCCTAACTAACCACATAGGACCAAGGCAAGAGCTTGAGTGCTGCTTCACTGAGTGCCCAGACTGCTTTTAGTACAGTTCCCACACCCACAGCATCGGTCCCTGGCAGCTTGTGCTGTTGTAAACACCTCACAGGCACACTTTTGCAAGTGGTGGGAGTCAGAGACCATGCCCAAGAGGCACTGTGGACAAGGATATCCTGTTTAAGATCAGTGTCCAAAAATCAGAACCTGAGAACAGATCCAACCCTTTTTCTTTTGTATAAAATCAGAGTCTGTGTGCTTCACAGTAACACTGCAAACATTAAAAACTGCATTTATTCAGTTTAATACTTAGAAATCTTGTTACACTAATTTGATTTAGCTTACACTACCAGGAGTGAGTAATACCCTATTCTGGACAGCAGAAAAGGCTTTATCAAGTTGAAGTCTTGTATCTTACTTTCCCTTGCATGAGATACAAATTTGATCTGCAGTAGTGTTATTAAAATGTCTTTAATATGATACACATGCTGCTCATAGGCAGGTAAGATATGCACAAGAATAACAACAACTGGCAAGAATGAAAGTGCCCATGCTTCATCTCTTTTACTTAAAACTGGAAAAAATATACAACTTCAACATGCTTAATACAATGCGCAGAATCCTGATTGTATCTATAGTTGCAGATTGGTCTGCTTGAACAAAAGAAATAGACTCACCATTTTTCATCACTTTTATTTTCAGTCAGTTGTGCTTCCTAGCTCTCAGAAAATGCCATCCTGGTACTGAAATATTTTTTCTGCAAACATTATGGGTAGATAGAAATTTCTAAGGAAAATAATATCTTTTCTGATTTTCTTCTGTTTAAGTGTAAATTATTTTCATGAAACTCATTTTTCTTGTAAAAATCTACATTTTTTTTACTTAGTAAAGAGAGTCGCAATTCAGAAAATGTTGACAGAAAAGAAAATCTACAGGCTAAAAGTGTGTAATCCTGTGCTTAGCATCACGCAGAAACCAAGAGGATATTTTACTGCCAATTCACCCTCCACTGGTTATAAACATCAATGATGAAGAGGATGAAAATGAGGAAGAGGAGGATGATGAAGAGGAAGGTAATTGTAAACAGTTTTCTTTCTTTTACCAAGAAGTAGAACGGATTTTTTCAACTCTTACAATGTACTTGGCAACTGGTTTATTATCATAACCATTACCTTTTTTTAGAAAAGCTGTTGACAAGTTTTTTAAATAGTTTTGAGCAGATCTTCAAAATATTGGAAGTGGTAGCCATCAGATTTGATTGAGGCAGCATTTTCTAACTCCTGTGAAATGCCTAGCTGTATATTTTAACAGTGATGTAATTCACATAACTCTTTTCATTAAATAGACTTTAAAATGTGATTTAGATCATGTGGTACACAATTCAGATAGGTGTCATTTACTCTTCACAATTTCTCAAAATTCCGAGACCAAATTACAAATATGAGGACGCTTCTTTTCTGGGAAACAAACTTTAGAACAAAGTCTGTACTCACTCATCACTGACGTCACAGGTTTGTTTACACAAGATAGTTGTGTGACTTCAGCTTAAATAGTTGGTTCAACCTATTTCCTAAACTCTGTAGGCAGTATCATGTTATTACAGAAGTTCATCTTAAATCTAGTGAAGAAGATCCATACAAAAGTCTTCACTAGTTTAACTGAATGTGTATTTGTGTATATGTATTAATTTGTTTATGCATTAATTTTTATTTTTTTACACATGGTTAAACTGTTGACTGTATCTCACTTAAAGATGAGAGACTCATAACAAATTGCTCATTCCGAGAGAGCGAAAGTGAGACAACGACTGTGACCTAGTGTCACACATGCACTCCTCAAATAACTGTGCTAGTTCTCAGGCAGCCCCAAGCTGCTTTTCATTCTCCATCTGCCCCTCAGGTTGGCTGGCACAGCTGCCTGCTAGTGCTTCTTAACTCAGTTTCAGTCTGACTAAGCCACATTAATTTAAATAATAGAAGTACGTTTTGCTAATCTTAGTAGCTTTAACTGAGACAGTTAAGAAGCCTTCACTTTGCCAGCTCTGCCAGCAGACCTTATGGGATAGTAACTTAGTGCAGAGGTTTTGTGACAAGTACATCAAGGTGACGTGTTTCATTGGAGTATTTCCTTTTGGATATAAAAGGAGGATTATTTTGAAAATGAGTACTGAAGATATTTTTTAATTATGTTGAATCAACAAACGTTAGCCTCTTGTTATGTGTTGTAACTGCAATTGCATTGCCCTTGGAAATACCTAATATCTTTCTGTCCAGAAGCAGAGGCTGGAGTCAGGGAAAAAACCCCACAACAATAATTTGAGAATCAAAATGAAATTCATTATGGTATTGGATTATTAAGAATTCTTGAAGATCTTTGTACAGCAATCTTGTAATCCTTTACAAATATTTCCTACAGATTTATCTAACTGGATGCCTAAAACTACTGCAGACACTGAAGAGGAAAGAGCAATAAAGGAAAAATGCTATAAAACTGGTAAATATGAAATTAGTCACACTTCCCTAAACAGCAATGCTGCAAATATGTAAACTTTGTGGTTTTTTCACTCCTGGCATATGTTTAGGAGAATATTATAGGATTCAGTACCCTCACAAAGACCAGTCAACAAAAACTATGTCTTCAACTCAGGAAAATGAGCTACTGCCCTCAGAAGTTACTAAGCAAGACTTGCAGAAAGGCAAGTACATTTCATCTTTTTGGACAACGTTTACTACTTTACAGAGAGAAACTATTACATAGCTTGCCCCTCCTCCTTGCTTTTTTTAATTTAGTGAAATGAAAGACAGTATATTCCAGAGAGCATAAAAATACTTCATTAATTTTTTTACCCATATATATATCTATAGTGCCACATACGTGGTGACTACCTGCATCAATTGTACATGGAAAAGGTAGAAATGGGCTACTAACCGTGTGTGTACTTTCTTGAGATACCCAACATAGCTCTTTCATATAATTTTTCTTCATGATCAAGATTTATGGGGTCTAATTTTAACCATCCTAAGCTTAGAAACATAGTTTTTATCTAGGCTTGCCGTTGTAAATGGAGACAGTCACTCTTATGGGGGTATTTATTGCATCGTAAGATAGTACTAAAGAAAGATGAGATGTGTCACTTTCCCAGAGGTGCTCCATGCTCTCTCCTGGCTGACTTGGGTGTCTAGATACCTAAATGTAGCGATACATCAAACCTTTTTGTAACCAAATTTAGATTAAATTATTACCCCCTTCAAGTGCCTTATAAAAGATAGTAACAAAGGAGTTCCAGTTGGTTTTGAATGTTGGCCTTACCTGACATAATTAAGGTCAAAGAAATATAATTTTGTAAATGTTTACCTCCCTTATGTGTCTCCTTCATTCCTGACTGAGTGGCATAACTGAAAGAAATCCGTATCTCCAATTCATCAGGGGAAGAATTCTGGGACAGCACTGGTCAAAGCAATCGCATGAGTTCAAATTAGTGTTGGTCTTTGTATTTGCAGTTGATTTTTGAGTTTGCTTTCAAAATTTTGCAAGAATGAACTCTGCTGGAGGAAATATAGCCACTTTTGCTTACCTTTTGAGAAATGATACTTTTAGAATAATTAACTTGTAAAACTATGTTCCACCAAAAAGATCTGTGTATGAAGTGAGAGATCAGGTTTTCAAAAGACCATAGCATTTTTGGATAAGAAAATTTTGTGTGCTCTGAAAAAAAGTAAATATGTGTTATTTTAATCCCTCAGAAACAAACTACACTAAGCTGGTAAAGAACCATCAGTGTGAAGAAGTAAAGAAGAAATGGATTTCTGAGGAGCTAAGAAATTCACCTAATAGAGAAACAAACAAAGGTATTTTGAGAAAACAGTTGGTTTATTCATTTTTATTTACTAAGCTGTTTGATGATTTAGCACAACCTAGTTAATTTCTGTTCTTAGTGCCAAGTAGGGACAATCCGTATTTGGATTGCACTATCCACAAAGAATATGTTGTTAACCTTGTCTACCAGCCTGCAGTCTCCTGCAATTCATCAAATTCTGAGTAAGAGCACAACATTATTGTTTGCTTGGTTTTTCACTTTTAGGAATTCACACTTCAGACCGCAAAGTAAAACCAAGTTGCCGACACAGGTGTGAAAGGAAGGATGGTGAGGCTGCTTCTTTTATACCTTGTGGGAGACAAACTGGAAGAAAGACTGGCTTCAGTTCTGCAGAACGTAGAAGATCATCATACGTAGTCTATCGTAGTGTTACCCAAGAATCAAAGTTCAGTGGATCTACTGGTGGGTTCCTATTTACACAGGATTCTTAAAATGCCTCAGTTATACCTGTCTGTATCACGCTGCTTTCGATTTTGTCCCTACAGGTGAACGTGAAGCTGTTTATGCCTAGATACAGGCAAGAGTAAATTTGATTTAACACAATTTTAAAAAATAAGCTGCACAGACAAAAAAAGCTTTACAATTAGTCAGAGAGAATACTCATGAACAATAATTTAGCTGCCTTCAAAGGACGAATTCTTTTATCTGCCCTACAAAGAGGGATGATGCCATGATGTGCATGAATATACCAATCCCTGCTCTTTTCAGTATCTTCTATGTAATTTATTCTTTTGAAATATTTAATAAATATCATAATAGTCCACCTTTAACTTCTTATTTGACTATGATGGATTTCTGATCATTTTCATTATTTGGGATTATATTTCGTCTTGAATAAAAAAGGGCTTGGCTCTTATTCAAACATCTGTGATTAAATGTAGTGGAATGTTTTCTTATTTAGATTATTTTGTTCATATTATTTATGTTGAACAGAAGACTGAATTAAATCTTTCTGCCATTCATGCAGGATATTTTCCTTCATATTTTTACCATCTTTGAAATGCTTAGCTGTCCTCTTAATAGTATGTACTTTGTCACAGATTTGAGAAGAAGCCTACAGGTGGGATTCTGAGTCTTGTATCTTTCTTTTTGGTAATCTGTTTCAGATATAACTATAATTTTACATATTTCACTTTATTTTTAACTTTCTATATACAACTTCACAAAATCTAGCACATCATCTGGGTTTTATTTGACTTTCTACTTTACATTTCCATGGTTTCTCTGGATATTTGTGTGTTCTCATCTGTCACTTCATCAAGAAATTCAGTTAAGAAAGTGATTTCGTCTTGGCAGTTTCAGTCATCTCTCTTGGGATGGGTTGAATCTCTATCTCGAAGTGCCTCCCTGTCTTAATCTGCAATGAAAGGAACCTCCTTCAGAAAGAGCAACTGCTACTTTAAGATGAATAAAGTTAAGTGAAACAAAACCTAACATCATTGCTTCATCTCAGGGACTAATGCTTGTGGCTTTTTTCTTTTTAGATTTGCTTGGATTAAATGTGGACAGGTTGATATAGAGATTACACAACATTCTTAATATGAAGAATACTTCTTATCAAATTTCCAGGTTAAAGAAGGACGGAGCCATTCAAAGGAAAGAGGATAAGCATTTTTGTCATTTTCACTACTTTTCTTTTCAGCAGCACCTGAGCCATATGGTGGGAAATGCTCCAAATCAGCTTGACACAAACAGAAGACTTTGGACCCAAACAGAAAATTATGGTAATACTTACATGTTGTATATAAACTGAAAAATTTGGCATTAATCTGGAATTAATAATTTGAATTAAATTAATCTGGAATTAACAGAGAACAAAACTATTATTAATGTTATTTTTTAATGAAATTTAACAGAAAATAGTTAATCCTTAGGCAGCTTACTTTGATGCAAATTCAACTATCTAGTGCAAAACCATAATACTATCTAGTCATTTCGCGAGCAGGGATGAAATAGGAGACTGGATTATGGGTTAGTTTAATCTAAAAAGAACTGATGCCTTCAGGGAGATTTTCAACACAGCAACATTCACTTTGTCCAGATCAAGGATGTCCATGTCACACTCACCTGATTTGGAAGGTCCTGTGAGCTTCATGGAAATTCTGAAAGATTGCAAATGATCTATAAATTACTATGGAGAAAGTCTGTATTTAATGCTGGCTTGTATTTCAGAGATGATCTATGATTTACTTGGTGCATTTATTCATACTTCAGCTAATGTAATATTTAATTCACATCTCAAGCTGAGAGAGTTTTTTCCAGAAATTGTAGCTGAAATGAAGGAACGATGTGGGGTTTTTGTTTTGTTTGTCTTTTTTTCTCTAGACAAATATGCTTCAGGATCTTATAATGCACCAACTTGGAGGAAGGGAAATCCACGAGCAAAAATGTTCTCGAAGTTTTGAACAACTATTCAGGTAAGTGTTTGATAGAAATTTTTACAATTTAATCTTCTTAGTAAAAGTGGTATATCTCTCCCCACACAGAAAACACAGAAGCACTGTTAAAACTTCTCCAAGAAAAACCTGCTGGATAGTCTGAGAGAACAGTTAATAGTTTTGTTTGCAGCCGTGTTATTCTGCCTATATAACTAACCTGCAATTTCTAATATTTTACAATATTACTCATATGAAAACAAAATATGTACCTGCCTTTGAAGTGAAGAGCTGCAAGAACTGAGCTGTGGCATGTAGCACTGGACAAAGCACATTAGAGACTCTATGAGTGTGATCTGTTTGTCCTACTGGTTGCTCTTGAAGCATCTGCAATAGCTTAAAATCCAAATTTATAAAAGGTCTCAGGCTACGAAACATTGACAAGATAACCTAAGGACCGTTAATACATTTTATAGTTATCTTGAAAGCAGAAATTAGAACCTGTATCTTGCATCTCATATTGAAAGTTTAATTTTCAAAATGTTTCTGCTTATGCTGGGCCGTGGTTGGAAGTCCATTCAATGCCGCACAATTTGGGGTTCCTAGCATGTGAAGGGTCATAAATTATCTATACTATCCTCGTTTTCCTTTTAGTGTGATCACAAAAACCCAGCATCTTAAGAGATGCTTTATAGAATCTGAGCACTTTCCAACTGGCATCATAAAGAGCACCTGCTGGTGTAATTTAACCTGCTGGTGTAATTTAACCCAGACCAACAAGCCAAAGCCCAAATAAAATCCTTTTATAGCATCTTAACATGCCAATATTCCCAGGAGGAGATCAGGCTAAGTGTTAGGCCCAGCTCAAGGGAAAGACAAAGAAACACAGGAGGAGGACTTGGCCATGAGGGCGATACCTGGCTGATCCCAGATTGTTGTGGAACCACAGCCTCAGTACGTTAATGCTTCCCATTTCACTGGAGCTTTCTGTAGAGAAATTGCAAATTTTTTTTTTTTTAGCCATCACTTGCTCAACCTAGGATGCCATCAGTACTAAGAAATACCTCATCATTTTACAACAAATACGTGGCTCAGTGAGATACTGAAAGTTCCTGTGAGGTGCTAACTGCTCTTGACTGAAGTCAGAGGAACAGAAAGTGATCAGTGCTTTGTGGGATCAAATCGATGTTTAAGATTTCCCTTTCATAGTTTAAAAGGCATTAGGATCCACTAAAATAATAAAAATACATGCGTGTTCTCCAGGTCATAGATGCATCCTCTATTATATTACTTTATCCTCTGCTGCCTGGTTGTCTCTGTCATTAGGGCCTCAAAGAGGCGTTAAAGGAAATTGAGGCTGTTCAGCATTTCATGCAGTGAGGCCTTAAAGAGTGCATTTCTGTGTTTTCACATACTTGCTGCATCATAGATCCCTCACATTCATTTAAACTGGTAATATCTGAAAATAAGTCCTGAAATCATGAGATGAAGATCAGAAGCAGAGGGCTACTGAAGAAGAGTTGGAACTTGTTAGGTATATATGTACATAACTTGCTGCTGAGTTGAAAGTCCCAGCGGAAAGAAAGGATTGGTTGCTTTTGCCTTATACATGTTAAAATATGCTAATGTTTTTCCAGCTGGCACTTCTGAAAGCACATCAGACATCTAGTGCAGGTGAATCATGTTAGGAAGTAAACAGACTAACAGCGGTGCCACCTGCATTTTATTAAAAGTTTATAAAGCTTCCAGCCCAAGATCTTGCATTCCTGAGCAAAATTATATGGCTAAATTAAAACCTCTAACTCCCCTCATTTTAGCAGCACCGATATTTTAAATAAGCTATTTGTTAATCAAGGCAGCAAAGTTCATCTCGAGTCAACACCGGAATGAAAGAAACATTATTGTCATAAAATAAAACCTGAACGAAACCTCTCTAGGAATTGTTGAGATTACTTAAAAAAAGGATTTTGACAATTCCCTCCTAATGAAGGCATTTGCTGATAAAAGCTCCCTTATGCAAATAATTGTCTGTAAATTATTTAACGGGCTCTGCAGTCACTAGGGGTCAGTGCAGCCGCAGGAATAGGCTCGAACAACGCCCAGGAGTGATCATCAGCGTCCGCTTAATTCCAGCTCCCCAGAGCTACAGCCGTGTTCTGCAGCGGCTTTAAATTAAGAGAAAAGGGTGCTACAGGCTTGTAGTGCTTCCTAACGGCCAACTCAGAGGAGAGGCACAGCGACCTGTATTCAAAATCGCTAAATAGCTATTTTTTTGTCTCTTAAAACACAGTGATGACGTAATCCCGCTTCTTCCTCATCCTGCACTCTTTCCAAAAGGCATTTGTGTTACCTCTTGATCTGGACAGCCCTCGCCACAGCTTCTTCTCAGGGAAATAGTTTTTGAGAAAAGGCGTTCCCAGACTAAGGGTCTCCTCGAACCTTTTGTGGCAGGTATTTCCTTCCCCCAGCTAAGCTGTTGCTAGGCAGATTCCCTGGAATCTGCCTACCTGGGCTAGTCCAGACTTGTCTATGAAACTTGAGCTGGTCGGGACTCAGTTACACCCAGGAAGCTGGCCAGAAGTCAATGAGAAGCCGGGGAGAAGCCGAGATGGCTATGATTGACCACAGTCATCGTTGACTAGATTTTTAAAACAGGGCTTTGCAGTGGCCATGTTGGAGTTACCTTGTGGCAGTGGCCTGAGGAGGTCATAAAGTCTCCCCCTTGGTCTAGGGCATCCCTAGGCAAGGTAGACCAGGTGAGCATGGGAACGCCTACCTGGTAAAGATACCCCCTAGCAAGGTTAAAAGGGAGAATGGGAATCCCCCCTTTTATGGTACCTTAGTGAAAACAATCAAGATGAGAGAAGAGGAACCCCCGGCTTGATTGAGGTGAGTGTATGATAATCCGGATTATCATTCTTTTGTCAAGGGCTAGTGCGTGAGCTTGATCTTTGTCTCAACTGATACCGAACCTTTAAATTAGGAGGAGCTTATATCCTGTAAATAAATTTAAATTTAACTATACGCATGAATTTATTTTTTGGATATGGGCGCGCTCCTCACCTCCTTCTTTACACCTTTCCAGTCTGGAAACCTTTTAGATAATTTTAAATACCTTTAGTTTTCACGTATATATTTTTAATAGGTCAAAATAATGATAGAAACATGCTACTGTGGCATGTAATATTCGAGGCACCTCAGAGTACACATAATATGCTTAAAATACAAGGGAAGTCCTGCTGCTTCTTTCTATAAATTTTGATTTTTTGAGCATCCAAGAGTCCTTACTTGGTTTAAGAACACATATACAGAAGACACTTATGGGCTTTTTATAATACGTTTTGCTTCCCCTAGTCAAAAGCAACGACTTCAAAATTTGAAATTCTTGTTGCTCTTCATGCATGATGAAGCTTTATCAATGAATTTCCACTTTAAGGGCCTAAATTGTCTTCACAACTCTTTCTGCTCCCCAGGAGAATCTGCAGCGGAGATTTGGAAGACTACATTGCCGTAGAGGAGTACACACTAAGCACAACATAGTCTGTGACCCATGATAATTCTATGACGACAACATAGTTATTCGTATTCTTAAATTCAAGTGCATTTTGACTGATCAAAGCAGAGAGGCTTCCAAAATTTTCATTGCAGTATGCGTTGCAGCCTGCCAAATTGATATCGTTCTTGGAGACGAATGAGGACATAAAATCCAGCAGGACTTTAACTTTCACAGAGAAGTTTGCAAACTGGGCAAATATAGTAGAGAATTGTAGGAGGAACAAGAAATTATGGAAACATGATGTTCAGTTACAAGTTAAATAAAACATGCCTCATACTAGCTCTTTCAGTTGGCCAATGTCAATCAAAACCTTTGTTCTGTGGTGTTGTAGAAGTGGTGGCATTGCTTGTTATGCTACACCTATGCCTGTGCCTATGTGTACTACTAATAAATCACCCCTGCAGCATATTAGTGGTAATCAATAGAAAGGTTAGCAAATTGAAACTCAGAACAATTTCTGGAACTCCCAAACCCTGATGGAGCTAGTTTGGTGACAAGTAGTATAATTTCCCATGAAAAACTTGGAATATAATCAGCAATAAGTCTTAGCAAATAGTTCCTGAGGTAGCCAGGTAAAGCCACCATCTAACGTATTCTAGTATAGATGAGTGGTGTTAAACGTAACAGAAAACCAGTGCCCTTTGCCCAACACCCCTGATCAAAAAAACATAAACTCACACTAAGGAGGCTTAGATAATATGATAACATACATGACAGATTAGGGAGCAACATGACAATCAACTGTAATCCAAAGTCTCTAAGGGCATAGTGTAAGAGTTCACTTAGAACTACATTAATAACAGTTCAGATTTTGGGGTTTTTTTCACCAACCTTTTGAACAAAAAATTAAATATGGAAATATTGTTAGTTTATGAAATTACACAGTGCAAAATTGGTTCAGCGCATCACATTGAACACTAATAAATCTGTCAAAATTTAAGGCTGGGTTGACCACTAAACTTTGACAGATCCTCTCTGTGATCACCCCTCACCCCACTCTCCCAGGGGAGGGATAACAGGAGAACTAGTGAGAGAAAGTTTAAGGTTGAAAAAACCTTGAACTAGTTTAATGAAAAAGAATAGCATTAACAATAACAACAAATATGTCAAACTATATACATATATATATACAAGTATGCAAATACACTTAAAGATACAAAAGGATGTTAATATGGGACCCACACCTTCCAGATGGCAAGGTCCTGAGCAGAGGAGAAAAAGTCCCAAGCAGAGAAAAAAAAGTCCCAGATCAGACTCTGCAGCAGAGGCACCCAGTCCCAGAGTCCCAATGACAGTCCAAGAAAAACCCAGAAAAAACCCTATTCTTCCCCACGCAGTGGCATAGGAAAATGACCTGTCCTATTGAATAGTTCTCCTCTGCAGCATGAAAACAGGGTGATTTGAACATCAGCAGCATAGGAAGAGATGACAAAGAACCAACAGCAACCCTCCAGTACAACAGTCACAAAGGGTC